ATAAAAATAAAAACTTTTACAAATTTTACCAAATACACTCTTAACTTTATTTGATCTTACCAAAATGCTGAGTAACGTATTAAACTTTGCTTTATTGATAGGTGTTTTAGTCAGCTAGGGAAGACTAAAATACTAATGGCATTTTCGTTATTATATAAAAAGAAAAGGGCATTCACGGAACTCCAGCTAAAGCCCACCTCCTTCCTCCGAAGCTCCTATATATAAACACCCCACTATGAAAAGCTCTCGCCAAACCGGCCAAGTCGGGAATACACCCATTCAATTGCAACGTATCAAATGGCTTACCCTTCTCCGCCTCCGGTTTCCACCGCTACAACCACCGCCGATGATCGGCGGGCAACTGCCACGATCTCCGACATCCATTCTGATGTTCTGGAGACGCACATCCTAACACGTCTCAACGGCCGCACCCTCGCCTCCGCCGCCTGCACCTCCACGCAACTTCACACGCTCGCCTCCCAAGAGAGCCTGTGGACCAACATCTGCCACTCCACTTGGCCCTCCACCGCCTTGCCGCGCGTTCGCGACATCATCTCCACCTTCCCTAACGGCTCTCGTTCTTTCTTCTCTGATTCATTTCCTCCCGCAGACACTGCAATTTCCGGAAATCAATCGTCGAATCATGACAATTCGTCGGAATTGATCTCAGCGGTTGATATTTATTACAAAAATAAGCTCATATTTAGCAAAGTTGTCGAAACAGAGACCGTGAGCGGCTGGTTCATATGCTCGCCGTTTCGAATTGACTTGCTGGACCCGAAGGACACGGTGGCGACACAGATGCCGCATCCAAACACGGATGACACTTGTCAGTATCTGGAGGACGACCTCACACTCAGCTGGATCATAATCGACCCGATCGAACGGCGGGCGATGGACCTCTCAAGCCACAGACCGGTCTCCGTACAGAGGCACTGGCTGAGCGGCGAGGTTCAGGTTTGGTTCACGACGGTGCTCACCGGCGAAAAAGGCTCGGCGTCGGAGTTCGTGCAATGCGGTATAGTGGTGACCTGCGGCAGATCAACGGAAGGGGAGATGCGCGTGATAGAAGTCAGTTTACAGGTGGAGGACATGGACGGAATGCACCTAAATGGGAGGGACAGTTTGGTAATTTTGGAAAGGACGTTGGAGGGTAAAAGAGGAAAAACGGGGAGGAGGGAGGCGGAGGGGAAGAGGAAGTTTCTGGAATTTCAGGAGAGGAAAACGGAGAGAAAGGAGAGAAGATTGAGGACGGAAGGGGCATTAGATATGATGTGCGTGGCGTTTGGGATATTGGGATTCACTTCTTTGGGCTTATATATTTTCTGCATATAATTTTCTTTTTAAAAGGGGATAAATAGGTTAATAGATTATTTTTTTGATACATCGGACGATAAATATAAAAAATGATACAACCTGGCCTTTAGGTTAAGTGGCTCTAGCCACGGTTGTAAGGTTCATATCTCCCTTCTCCAGGGTAACAGTTCGAACCGATCTTATAACAAAATGTTCAAAAATATATATATATATATATATATATATACAAAATGATAACTCTCCTTTGTTGTCAAATCTTTTTCTACTCGGTTAAATGTTAAAACTTGAAATGTTAAGTTTTTAATAAATTATAAATACACTAATACAATGAAATAAAAAATGATAATTAGATAATAAAATTGTTTTGGGTTTTACATAAATGTATTTTTTTTTTTTTTGTTAATATATTACTCTATCTATACAACAAGAAGTGGAAACTGTGCAATGTTTGGCTGCTATTATGACTCGAATTTAAGATTGTTGCTAGAAAAGCGAAATTATTACCGCCAGATTACAATATGAATTACTATTTACAAAGTAGTCAGGTAATTGTAAAAAATAAAATAAAATGGAAATTACATTGGAAGAGATGCACGTAAAATCTATCATGGATGATGGATTTTTTTAATGAGATAGAACTTTTTTTTTACATCTAGATGGTGCCATACAAGAGCCTTGTTTCATGAAGTGTTTTGATTAATTATTTAAATATAATTGATAATAAATAAATGATATAATTAATTAGAACTAGTAATTAATAGATATATGTGAAAGCCCGAAACAAACACTCTTCCATACATTAAGACTTACGTATCAGAGCGAAGAAACAATCCAGCAAAAAGGGAGATGAAACGTGAACCATGAGTGGATCTAAGGATTCTAAACAGGCAACAAATTCATTTTAGGTGAGGGAAATGAGTATTATATGTGTTTGCTTAAGGCACAAACACTTTAGAACTAATTTTAAGTTTAATTGGACAAAGTTGCTTACAATACTTTTAATACATATATATTTATAGTAATTCTCATAATTTATATGTTTGATAAATTATTCATCTCTACTTTTTAAAAAAGAATACAAATATCATCTTATTTAAAAGTAATAGAATTTATAAATAATGTAATAAAATTTTTAAATTTTTTTCATATATTATATATTAAATTATTAATTAATTTAATTTTAATAAATAATATATCTAATTAAATAATTTTATAATAAATTATTTTTTAAAATATAATTATCAAACAATAAAATATTTTTTTATGATAATACAATGCAACAGTTCTAATAATTACAATTACAAAATAATACAATATAGCATCATGAGGCTAATCCTTAGATATATTCAAGATCTACCTATAAAAAGGTTAAAGAAAAGACATCTTCGGCAATGCCGTGTCTTAACCAATAGCAAAAGCCAATAAACTAGGAAGGTGGGGTGGTTTCTTCTTTTTCATCATTAACCTCATCTTCACCTAGGCAAAGGTGGAGAATTATAAGAGAAAGTGGAGAAGTGTAATTTGGATGAAAAGACACCGTATTTAAAGTGTGGGTTGGCTTTCCTGGCCAGTTTTAATCTGAAATTTAATCATGAAGAATGGATAATTGATTTGATCTCCTACATGCAGGGAAAAAAAAGGACATTTCATCAGTCAGACATAATTGTTCCATTTCTTTATTAAGAAAATAAAAGAGGTTCTACAGGGACCATATGAAACATTATTTTAGATAATTTAATTTTATATTTGAGAAGATAGAATTGAATCTAAAAGAGTATTATTTGGGTGAAAGAGATGCCTCAACTATTTGAACCACAACTCCCGATGCAATGAGGTACAATATCTAATGCACAAATTTTATAGGGAGTGAGATTTAGTTGTATGGAAATGAACATAATTACAAGAACAATTAGCAGGGTAAAGAAATTAAAGAACTATACTAAACAACCGTTGATCCCTGATTATTTAACCTTTAATATATGAACTAAAATGCGGCAGATGCATGAAAAAAAAAAAAAGATGAAAAAGACTATTTTCTATTATCTAACCTACCCACAATTAGATGTGAAGTAAGACGTTGGCATTAATATGAGTTCAGAGGTGGTGGCAAATGCAGTAGGTAAAACATTAGGCTTTGACAACAACCACGTCTATATTATTGATGAGGCTCGAGAAACAAGTTAGAGATGGCGTGCGTGAATAGTGCCGCTGTTGTCTGCATTATTGCCAAGAACATGAGCAGTATGGGATATAACCATCGAGAATGAAAGACGTTTAAAGCATGTTTGATTTGTTAGAAATCGAGGGGAGGAGAGGGGCCTTTATTGGGATAGATTAAAAAGAACAAAAGATAATGAAGGGAAAAAATAAAAGGTTAAATGCCAATTTTGATCCCTCAACTTAAGGTTTTGCACAATTTTCATCTTTTAACTTTTTTTTGCACTTTTTAATCCCTTTAACTATGAAAAATGCACTGTTTTAATTATTCCATCAATTAATCCGTTAAGTTTATTTGAATATGCACATTTTTAGTCTCTCAATTTTAAGTTGAGGGATGAAAAATGTGAATGTATTAGAAGTTAAAGGATTACAAATGTGCAGATTCAGATAAATTGAACGGATTAATTGACAGAAGATCAAAAAAGTGCATTTTTCATAGTTAAGGATCAAAAAAGTGCAAAAAAAAGTTAAAAGATGAAAATTATGTAAAACTTTAAAGTTGAGGGACCAAAATTAGCATTTAACCAAAATAAAATACAGTTTCTTCCCCTTTTCTTCCCTCCCCTCCAATTCTTCCCTCCCCCTCCAATTTTTTTTAATCCAAAAAAATAAGCTTCTTCCCTACCAAACATGCTCTTAAGAATCTCCAATGTCATGGAGATTCAAGAGAATAATCATTCTTTTATTCCCTGGCACATTTCCTAAAGAAGGCAGATCTGATCCTAGATTCTTAATTCAACAGTACTCAACGAAAATGCCTCACATACAAAAGCCCTCAATTCTACTAATGAAAATGTATTATAAATATAGATTACCCTAGAAATGAATAATGATCAGCGTCCAACTTACAATTTGAAAGCTTGAGTGCGTCTCAAATGCACAAATTCTCAGTCCATATGGTGAATCTTCTGCGCAGTAGTTTCTGCTGAAAATCATCATGCAGAAAAAGCAAATTGTAAGCTTGACAATTGACATCCTTGGCATTAAGATTAAATTTAATGAAAAAGGTAAAGTGGGTCGAGAAGCATAATAGACATACACCTTACTGAATAGAATAATAGAAGACCCTTTATTGATGGGGGCTAATAAATCAGAAGAACAATTGTTTCCTTAGAAAGAGAAACATAAGCTTTAAACATACAACATCCAATCCAAGTTTAAATGTTTATTGTTTGCTACAACAATTCATACTTGAAGGCCAAATCGAACCATTGAATTTGAACATTGATGGCTAATATTTACTGGACTCTATTACTGCAGGGCTCTGACACAATTTTATCACTTCTTGCTTCTTTCTAAGCAATCCTTCAGGCTGCTACACGGCATAGATCTGAAAGTACCAAATATTAGTTGTATTATTTGCTAGAATGAGCTAAGAAATAAGGTGCTTTATGTACGACTTAAGCTTAAGGTGTCTAACTCTCCCTGACAGTAGCTTTGAAAATAAAGCAGCTGCATAGAGTCAGTTCTCCTTTGCTGGTTCAGGAGGCCCTCTTGCTATTGGCATTCCTCCACCAAAACTAGATTTGAGCATCGCATAGTCCACATAGATTACACGTCCATTCAATACCTGGAAAATCACTTGTTACTTATGAAACTTAAATAAGAACCTCATATCCAGAAGAACGGGAAGGAGCATTTTTTACCTTTCCATCCAGCCCTGCTATAGCTTTCTCAGCTTCATCTTCAGACGCAAAGGTAACAAATCCGAAACCTTTTGATCTGCTAGAAATTCTGTCCATCATAATCTTAGCTGAAAAAGGCAAAAATGTTAAAATCTTTCGTGCATCAATCACAAATAACATGAGAAGATAGTTTAATTAAATTGCACAAAAGAAGCCAACACATACTGACCTTCAACTACTTGACCATACTGAGAAAATGCCTCAGATAATCCTTTCTCCGTGGTGCAAAAGGACAGACCTGCAACATCGAAAAGGGAATGTCAAAGGATGTATTATATGCTTCAAGGTGAAAAAGAAAAAATAAATAAATAAATAAATGGCCAAAAAGAAAAAAAAATAATTATAAGCCAACACAGTAAAGTTCTTAATTTATAGAATGATGAAAATAACTAATATCAAGATAACAGATAGAATCCCTTGGAAGGATCAGGCAAGCTAATTTTAATGCACTCGTGAAAGGAAACAGAAATTTTTAAAAAAAAAAAAATCGCCTTATCTAGTTATCTAGCAAGCTCAAAAAAGATTTTTTTGGATTAATGTAAAATTTTTATTTATCCAATAAACTGTGCTATACAGTCAAGCAGCAACTGCTGCTACAATCAATTACAAATGTGATTAGAGAAAATTTTCCAACAACTAAGACTGAACTTGCGTCTGTAAAATTTCTTCTAGTCCCCACTATACTGCTCCAAAACATGGGTAATGAAGCTCAAAAAAGACGCAACATTAGATTCTTCTTTTTTTTTTTTCTTTGAGTGCCTTGTTTTGCAGTTTAATCTGCACTGGGTTACAAAACAGGTCCCAATGATTTAAATTGTGCACTCCAAATTGCACAACAATTTTTTTTGCTCATTTACAGGGTCTTCCTATCTAGAATGTTGTTTGATTGATCGTTACAAGTTCACAAAATCTCTCAAACAACTAACTTCAATCATGAGCAAAAAAAAAATTTCAATTTCTCACAGAAACCTTGTTTGGCTCAAACTAAAAATTAGTTATCAGAATAAATATCCCAAAAATACAAGTAAAAATACAAAATTTATTCTGATCTCTAAAAAACATCATTATGCTAGGGAAAACTAATAGTTATTCGCTAGGAATGGTACAATGATCAAATTCATATTCATTTTCATTGAGAAATTACTACTACATGTAAAGTCAAGCAACCATAAAGCTTCTCTGTATAATTATTTGAGTGCTTTTATATGCAAGCAACTATTGATCCCCCAGAAACCCTAGCGCAGCGAAGAAAAATGGAAAAGAGATGACCATAAGGAGAAAGAGAGGGGAAAAGACTAGTAGATTACCTCCAACAAAAAGCTTAGAGGCTATACCTCTGCGACATATGAGAAAGGGTGGAGGAGTAAGCGGAGAGTGAAGAGCGGCGGCGGCAGAACCAGCCAGTTTTCTAAGTGCCGCCATCAGTTGCAGAGGGAGAGAAACAGAGCTGCAGAGGGTTTCTAGAGAGTTGTTTCGGGCAATTCCTCTTTCTCAAATCTTAGGCGGGCTAAATCGAAACTGGGCCTGCCCCTACCGGGCCTTTTTTAAATTCTGCATTTTTTTCTTTTTCCTTTTTTTTTTTTATCAAAGAATTTTATAGTTCCCAACTTAGAAGTGAGAATCAAGATATCTTGTTATTTAAAATATTAATACATTTTATTTACTCAAATGCCTTTAAAGGTATTTTAAATCATTTCATAGGTAATTTAATATTTTAATTATTAAAACATCTTGATCTTCCTCAATCTCTTTTTAGTTAGCTATTTTTGGTAAAAAAAACATAAAAAGAAAAATTAGAATATCCTTTCATAGTTTGCTTCCTAGATTTAGGGGTGGCAATGTCTTCCCATCCTTGTCCTCACAAATGAGAGCACGGGATCTCTGCAGGGATTTTTAACAGGAGCAAATTTTGCTCTCCATCTCTATTTCTTATGAGGGATGGAATCCCCATTTCCCATCAATTTATATGAAAATGTAAATTTTATTTTTCAAATATAATAAACTAATATTCAAACACAATAAATGAAGTTTTAGAAGTTTAAGCACAATTAACTAAAGTTCTCTCAACGTAAAATCAACTATAAATTCTTCAAATATAAATAAAGATCAATCCAATTTAATTTAATTGTGTTAGATTTAGATATGGGTTGAGTTGGGTTGTATACAATTAGGTTAAATATAATTTTTATTAGGTTAGACTTGAAATGTATCATGATATATTAGGTTAGATTAAATTTAAAATAAAAATAATTTATATATTTTTTTAACTTTTTGCGAGGATGAGGAATCACGTAGAGATATGGGGGATGGGAAAAATTCCTTGTATAAATTCATAGAGGAAAATATCCCATCCTTACCTAATGAAAAGAAATATTCTTCCTTGTCCCACCCCAAAATGAGGATCGAGACCCGTGGGATCAAGGAAAATTGCCACCCCTATTTATATTGTCCAATTGTAATTACATGATAAATGTGACAAGTTGGGACAGACATATCTCCCACTTATTAGTCCTGATTTTCTGTTTTCTTAAAACCTAATTCAGTGTCAGAAAAATGTTGTAAAAAATGGCGCCTGTAACTCAGTGGATAGAGCGTCCGTTTCCTTACGTTCGAGGGTCGACCCCTACCTGGCGCGTTAAGTAGGCCAAGGAATGGTGATCAAATATTTATTTTTTGTGATTGGTGGTTTGGAAATACTGCAATTGTGGAAATACCAATTAATGAAGAAGATTTAAAGAGGGCTGGGGCTTTGAATGCACATATTCGAGTATGATGTGGCAGACTATCCTTATGCTGCTTCAGATACTTAAACCTGTGGGTTACTGGGATGTCAGTTGGCAGTGGACCAGGCAAGTTGTAAGGGGAAGAAAGAGCAGATGCGAGTTATTCAAAAGAACCTTTGCGGCTACTGTCTATGGCATTTGAAAGGAAAGAAATATCAGCATTTTTAATTTTTTATCAGGAAAACTCATGTGCCTTGGATTTCATTTTTTTTAAACCAGTAGGCCTAATTGCCATTTCATTCTATAGTTATGATTTTATCAAAATCATTTTCCACCATGTTATGATATATTTACGTATTTCAGCATTTCGGCAACTGAGCACGACACTACAATTTCTTCCTGAGCTGTTTGACCAAAACACGACTGAGTGAAGCTCCAATTCTTCCAACGGCTAACTGCTTGATTTATGTCGTAATAAAGAACTAGAAACTACTAGGATGATATTAGCATAATCCTAAACAATCTATGACATTGACATCCCACACCTCGCACTGTTGAATGCGAAAGAACGATAAGGCTTTTATCATTATTACAAACATTCGACTTAAAGGAGACGGATTGAGCTGTTAAACCAAGCCTACAGTTCTAACGGAGGAATGAAGCTGAAGGCAAGAAAGGTCTTGTTGCGCAATGGTTTGTTAGGATATCAGCTAAAGAGCTGTGCCATAACTGATTTTTTTTACGAGCATTCAGTATGCCACAAAATCTGCCTAAAGTATTGCTGCTATGAAGTCTTCATGAGTCATGAATGGTGCACCTTCTGTAGTGCCTGGTAGAACATGTCGATGAACTGGTCATCCTGACACATGACAAATAGGGAGTTCGTCCCTAAATAGAAAGCCTTCGTCCAAGGATGCCTATGCATGTGCCTGTATAAAGAAGGAACTTGAGCTGCGTCTTAAGCATCTCTCAAACCAAATTGTCATCAAACACAGCCTAGTGTCTCTCTCCGGTGGATGGCCAAACAAATGCAAGAAAAGCAAGATCGAAGAAATGGCT